GCGGGAGACGCCCGGACCTGGTCCCGGGGCCCCCACGTCCTGACTGCTCGCAAAGAGCGCCTCCCAGAGACCACCTCGAAGGGGGTGGAGCTGCTCTAAGTTGGGGGTCAGGGAAGCTCCCCGAGACTGGCCCTTTAGCCCTGTCCCTGTCCCCTCCGAGTCCCCTGCCAGCCTCCGCCCCTTGCCTCACTGTCCTGCCGAGACCGGACAGCAACCGCCGCCCTTCAGCCCCGCCCCTGTCCTCGCAGGAGCTGCACGCGGCCGAGGTGCGCAGGAACAAGGAGCAGCGGGAGGAGATGTCCGGCTAAGGGCACCGGACACCGCGGCCACAAGAACACGTTCGGGCGTTGTTTTTTTGTTCAACTTTGTCTAGATGCAAGTTTTGTTTCTGCTCTGTCCCCTACCCTGCACCCCCAGCTTCATGCTTCGTCCGCACTCTGGGCATCCGGGTCCTTGTCAGACCATGGACTCTCCCTGGAGTCCGCAGGATGGGAGACACGGCCGCCCAGGTGACACCAGGCCAGGCTCTTGGTGGCCCTCTAGTGGATGTGGTGGCAACCTTAATAAACCTAGTGGCAGTGGCGCAACGTGCAGGTCCTCGTGCTGGGTTGCTTGGTCAGCACATGGTCACACGAGGTCACACAGTTTACACCAGCTCCAGCCCAGCCAACAAGCAACAACAGCAAAGCATCTGCCTGTCTTTCTGTGAGGAGCGCCTTCATAGAGTGGGTGTGAGGGGTGGAGGTCAGAGAATGGTAACATTGAGTTGAACCAGCAAGGAGGTCCTGACCCCAGCACTCTGGGAGGCTGAAGCAGGATGATCCCAAGTTTGAATCCCATCTGGGCATTTAGTGACTTAATGAGACCCTGTCTCAAAACAACCCTGTCTGGGGTTGTAGCTCCATGCAAAGACCCTGGGTTCAAGCCTCAGTTCTAGCAAAAAGGAGAGAGAACTTGGACTAAGGACTGTTGGGCAGGTGGGGCCCACTCACGCCATCACTGCAGCCAGCTCTGGGTGCTGTGTGCAGTGAAACTGTCTGGCGTGGTGAGTCAGGGCTTCTGTACTCTCAGGGTGATGGCCTCGGGATTCCTCTGAGAACACCTGGCCTGAAGTAGGTGCCCTGGGCCAGCCTTAGAACCCGTGGTCATCACACACGGGATGAGCAGGGTCAGGGGCCTATGGCCAGGCGCAAGTCGGCTGAAGGTAGGCGTTCTCTGCCAAGGACCCATAAGCAGGTGGCTGTGATCTACAGCTTTGTGAGTAGCTGTGGACCTGCCTGTTCTCCAGAAAGCCCCATCCCTGGCACTGTGTGGTGACAGCCCCACTGCCCCTGAACCCTCAGCTTTGCAGCTGCCTTGACGAACCTCATCCTGAGAGCCTCTAGTCTTGGCACCTTCCCCTGCCCTCTGCTGATTCCTCCTGACCACTGACTTTCAGGCTTCTGAGTGAATGGCAGCTACAAGTCCCCAGGGAGCCCACTAAGGGGGTTCCTCGGGAGTGGCTACCCACAGATTCACGCGCTGTGAGGACAAGGTCAAGTTTCCCAAGCCAGCCCTGACACGCCACCCATCCTTGCAGTTTCTCACCAGAGCACTGGAAGCCTGGGTCTAGGTGGCCCAGCAGTCCTAAGATGTCCTGGGGCTCATATGTGAGGATGGCCACTTGTCATCACGGGGAGCTCCTCTGCATCACCGCAGCATCCGCACTCTTCTCCATCCCACAGCCAGAGCAAGGGTAGGTGATGACCTCTGCAGCACACCCACCACCTCTGTCTTTGTCTGCCCAAGACAGCCTCTAGAGGAAGCAAGGGCAGGGCTAGAACCCAAAAGTACCCTAACCCACATGTGGCTTTTGATGGACTCACAGGAGTAGAATCAGGAGCTGGTTAGATTTCTTTTCACAGGTTGCTTTCTTGTCACTAAAGTCTACTGTAGTGTGCCCATGTCATCTCTGAGTGAACCTAAACATTAACTCTAATGAACCAGAGAGAAACGCCTGTATGCTTAGATATGGCTGAACTGTGATGGATGTGGTGGCACACACCTGTAATTCCAGCACTGCGGAGGGAGGCTGAGGCAGGAGGATTGCAGCAAGTGAGGCCAGCCTGGGCTATCTAGGGAGTTTAAGGACAGCCTGAACTACACAGGAGACCCTGACTCAAACAACAAAAACAAAAACCCAAAGAAACAAAATGGCTGACCTGCCAGTGTGTGTCTTGCATGTCAGGGCAGGGAACCACTCAAGCTGTCTGAGCTCCAGACTGACACTAGTTATAAATCTTGTTTATAACTTGATGACAACAGTGATTTTAAGAAATGAGCATGTAAACAGCTCAGGAACCCGCTTCCTTTTCTGAGCCCAAAGGGTCAGAGGGGTTGCCAGGAGATGCCTCAGGATGAGGGAGGTCTCCATCCTGGCTGCTGCCCATGACCACCCCTGATCTCCCAGGAGAACATCACCAAGAGGCTTCCTGTGGGCCCAGGAGTCTTCAGCAGGCACCTGTTGTGAAGGAGAGACCAGTGCTGTCAGTCAGAGCAAGTCTCCAGCTTCATGGCCCTGGGCGGTTGGCTACTGAGCCTCAGGTCTGGCCCCAGAGAGAGAGAGTAAGCAGACCTCAGCTGACCTTGGGGATGTGCTGTCCCCCAAGACCCAAGCAGCCAGCGGGGGTGCCCAGCAGGGCCCCTTCTTAGGGAAAGCACATTAGGTAGTGGATGTCTACCCTGTCCTGCTCATTCCCGTACACAGACTCTGGTCCAATGCCCTGGAGAGGTCCCATGACCCAGTCATGACACCATTCTTCCTGTCCTGGGAGAGGGAATCATCAGTCAGAACCCAGAACACCTGGTGAGGAAGAGATGAAGACACTAGGAACTGCACAAGAGGAATGGCAGGGGAAAGAAAGGAAGTGCGTGGAACTATTTTTACAAGGTGGGAGTTCTGCTTACCTTATTTCATGTGCACGCTGTGGACAAGCACATCAGGACCTGGCACCTGCAATTGCTGCTTTTCTCTTTTTCCCAGAACCAGGGATTCAAGCCAGGGCTTCTTTTGTGGTAGGCAAGTGTTCTACCACTTAACTATGTTCCCCACCCCTGGGGGGTTAAATTTTATTTTGAGACATGGTCCATTAAATTGCCCAGGGTAGCCTTGAACTTGAGATCCTCCTGCCTCAGCCTCCCAAGTAGGTGATATTACAAGCATACACTATGGTGCCTGGCTTACGGTTTAATTCTTGCAGGAAGGAGCCTGGTGAGCAGTGAAGGGCAAGTAGTGTTTTTGATAGGCACTGTGTGGAGCCTCCGACATCAGTGGGGAATCCGTCACAGACTGACTACACTTTTTCTTAATAAGGAAAAGCAAGAGCAGGGGTCGGGCTCCTTTGTGCAAGCCGGTGAGAAGTACACTGGTACTGCTAGTAACAGAGCACTCTACACAATGTCTCAAAACATAAGCCTCGTCTCACAGCTCTAAGTCAGGAGCGCCAGAGTGGGGTGGCTCTGGCTCAGGGTCTCTCCTGAGACTCCAGGGTGTCAGCAAGGCTCTGGTTGTCTGAAGCTAGCTGGGGTGAGGAGGCGACTGGCAGGGTGTGGACAGTCCATGGAGCCGCCTGAGTGTGCTCACGGCCTGCTGCTGGTTCCTCCAGCGTGAGCAATTGGGAGAGAACAGAGACACGTGAACTACTGCTTGGAAGTCACACAGTTTTTGGGAGTCACTCAGCAGCCTGCACTTAAGGGAGGGGGGACATCAAAGGGTTTGTGGACATATTTAACTTTTAAGACAGGGTCTATGAACTCAATAATTAGCCTAGGTTGGCATCCAACTCAATGGTGATCCTCCTGCGTCAGCCTCCCAAGTGCTGGGATTATAGAAAAATGACACCATGCCCAGCAATTTGCTTTTACATAAATTTAGCAGCTGAACCTGAGATGGTGACCTTGTGTGCTCTAGGTGTGGAGCTGCAGTGGGTGTCCTCTGGAGCTGGGGTGTCTAGCAGAGCAGGTAGGGAGGCTGCACAGTCTTACCCTGCAGCCCTGCTGTGTAGTACCTGGTCTGGCAGTGGAGGTACTGCCATGCAGACAGCAGGTGGGGAAAAGGTTGTGGAACCACGAGTGTTTCTCTTCCTGCTGAAGACAATCTCAACTGCACTAGTATCCTGTGGCCATTGTGACAAGCACTACACATGGGGTGGCTTAAAATGGAGCTGACCAGTCTCAGGGCTATGCTGAGTGCTGATGTGCTTCATAGCTGCAGGGAGGGTCCCACGAAGAATGGCAGCCTGGCCTGTCCCACAGTCCTACAGCCCTGCACATGGTGTCTCTGTGGGACACTAAGACTAGGCTGGGAGCCCACTCTAACGAGTTGTTTCTTTAATTCATTTTTCAGTACAGTACTGGGCACTGAACCCAAGTCCTTTGCGCTGAGCTACTTCTCCAGCTTTCTTTTTTTGACAGCGACTTGCTAAATTGCCCAGGCTGGGCTTGATCATGGGATCATTCCGCCTCAGTTTCTCAGAGTGCTGGGGTTACAAGCCTGGGCCACTAGACCTGGCTTTTGTGTTGTTCTGTTTTTTAAACAGGTTCTTGCTTTGTACCCAGGCTGGCCCTGAACCCATGATCATCCTGCCTCAGTCTCCCTAGTGCTGAGATTATAGGTATGTGCCCAGCCCCTTATAATCTTAAAATTTTGCGAAAGGCAGCTGGAAGTACAGCTGGTAGAGTGTGTACTTAGAATATGGGAAGCTCTGGGTTCAATCCCTGATCCTAGAAAACAAACAAAACACCCGGACCTCCCCCCTCAGTACTGGCAACTTAAACTAAGCCACTAGCCCTGGGACAGTTTCTTAAAAGTTGGTGTGGTATGCATAGAAGCTATTATCAATGAACTTTTTATTTTGTTAAAATTAAAATTTGTTTTGTCTTCTTTGAATGCATCTTTAACTCACTCATGGTTTTGTAAGAAGTTGTCATTTGGAAAATGCTTCCCTAAGTTACGTGGAACCTCCAAGAGAGCCCACATTCTATTAAAATATATACACACACACACATTTGGCCAATATCCCAACTTCATTGGAAAGTGCTAGGAAGTCTGAGAGCTCAGTGACAAAACTGTAATTTTTGTTGTTGTTGATGTTTTTTGGTACCGGGGATCGAACTCAGGACCTTAAGCTTGCAAGGCAGGCGCTGGAACCACTGGGTTAAATTCCCGGCCCCCAAACTGTAATTTTTACTTGACAGCTCAAATTGTATCGCTGAGGGTGTCACTAGATGGGGTCTGAGGTGGCTCCTCCCAGAGACAGGGACTCAGCTAAGCCCACTGAAGTTTTTTGTTTCTGCAGTACCAGGGCTGAACCCAGAGCTTTTACACTGCTATATTCTCAGCCCTTTCAGATGGAACACAACCTTGGAATATTCCTGTGTCAGCCTCCCAAGTGCTGAGGTTCCAGGGTACACCAGTGCCAAGTAGGTTCCTGACTCATCATGCAGAAAGCATTTCAGGATGTTAGTGACAGGCATAGGCAGGTAGTAAAAGTGAACAGGAGAGATTGCCACCTGAGTAATTAGAGGGGCCCCCATGCAGGGACTTAAACCGGCCCACTCACAAAAGCAGAAGCCATACCAGGCGTGCTGGCGCACACCTGTAATCCCAACACTTGGGAGGCTGAGGCAGGAGGAGCACCATGAGTTTGAGACCAGCCTGGGCTACACAGTGAGTTCCAGGTTAGTCTCAAAAAACTGGAAAAAAAAAAAAAAAAAAGCAGAGGCCAGCCTTTATGGATTAGCTGAGCTGGGCCAGAGTCATGAAGATGGTCATCTCAGTTCCGGTTTGTTGTTCCAGAGGAATCCTTATGGCTTGAGAGATACTCTGCTCCCCTGCTCCCCATGAGATGACAATTTTGTCTTGAGGAGGAGGTGGGCTGTCTCAGTTCCAACATCGAGTACAATAATTGCTTCTGCTTGGAGGGGAGCGGGAAGCTCTACTTTTCCTGGAACCTAAGGTGACTGCAGGATTGGAGACTTCTAAGTACTGCTCAGGGAGGTCTGGAACTGAACAATGTGAAAGGTGGCAACTGGGTGTCCCTGCACACCCTGCGGGGTCTGGGGGGATCAGTCATTGTTCTCAGTCTTGAAGAGGGTGAGAATGGACTAGGTACATGTAGGGCTAATACCCCTGCAATGCAGAGTCTCCGTGATTATCAAGCCAGGGTCCAGAGCAGGGATCTGACCGGTTTCAAAGGTAAAGGATAATTAAAGTGAGGCGTAGTGGCGCATGCCGGTAATCCCAACACTCGGGAGGCAGAGGCAGGAGAATTGGTGAGTTTGAAGCCGGCGTGGGCTACATAGTGAGTTCAAGGCCAGCCTGAACTACATAGTGAGACCCTGTCTTTAAAATTTTTTTTTTTTTTTAGTTTCCTTGTCTTCTTTATACTCATCTTCATTTCTTCTATTCTATTTTAGCAACAAATAGTCACTATTTTCCTTGAAGTGTGTGGGTTGGTTGGTTGTTTTTTACTCTCCTGACATCAAGTACATAGTATTTTTCCACACCAGCAACCAATTCTCTGAACACCATGTGGGTGCTCCGCTGAATTCTGAGACCAGCTAGCAGGAACTGGTGCCAGACCTCTTGAGTGAAAAGGCTCGGTTCTGTAAGCCTGTCTATACTTCAGCGGCCAGCAGGGCTCTGGAGGGACGGCCTCACCTAACAGACATCTGTTGTGTTTAGAGCTGTCCGGGGCAACACTTTCAGCCACCAGCTCTGAGGTGGCCAAGCTGTGGTCACCTGCGGAGTCCAACAACTGCAGCCACCACCTCTCCCAGGTGGCCCAGCTTACATGCCACCTGCTGCGCTGCAGAAGCAATGGGAAAACCTGGGTTCTAGCTGGATTTTTTTTTTCGGTACTGGGGATCAAACTCAGGACCTTGTGCTTTCAAGGCAGGCTTGGTGCCACTGAGCCAAATCCTTGACCTAACTGGACTTTCGATCTCCATCTCCCTTTCTTCACTCTCTCTAGTCACTCTCACTTCCGCTCTTCATAACCCTCCCAGCTCTGCCCTTCTCTGCAGCTGACAGGCTTTGCTAGCACGGCCCATGGATTTTTGTCACTGTTTACCTAAAACCCCAATGCCTGACTCAGGTGCCCATGAGTACGTTTTCTGGAGGCTGGAGTTATAGCACTGAGGGTATACCAAGACCTTGGGTTCAAGCTTCAATTGTCGGCACTAGAAAACCCATCTGCTTCTTTTGTTTCTGAGATAGGGTCTCGCTCTGTGGTTTAGGCTGGCCTTGAACTGACTATGTAGCCCAGGCTGGCTCCAAACTCACAACAAGCCTCCTGCCTCAGCCTCTCAAGTGCTGGGATTATAGGCATGTGCCACCATGCCTGGCATTTTAACTTTTTATTGTGAACTTAAAGAACAATTACAAAACAGTACAACAGAGTCTCCATGCATCCTTAACCTGGCTTTCCCTAATGCTGACTTCTTAAATAACCACAATCTAGTTGCAGATACCAGGTAATCACCATTGTACACTATTAAATGAATCCTGGGGAAACTTCAAGTTTTTCTCCTAATGTCATCAGGATCTCACACTGCATTTGGCTGTCACATTTCCTTAGTCTCTGATCAGTGACCGTTGCTCGTTCGTTCTCTTACAGCTTTGTACTTCTGAAGAGTACTGATCAGTTACTTACTTTGCCATCTATTCTCTGTTGGGGTTTGTCTGATATTCTGCAGTACTGGACTAGGGTTCTGTGTTGCTGGCAAGCATGCCAGAGAAGTGAAGCATGTCCTTCAGTATTGCCCTCAGAGGTCCCTGGGGTCAGCCCATCTCACTGGCAGTGACCTGACCTGATTTCTTCACTTGGAAATTACTCTTTCCCTTTGTAGTTAGTAAATGTTGGAGAAGGCAGAGTAATTGTATCCAAGACATCCACATCCTCATCCATGGAATCTATGTATTTGGTTAATGGCAAAAGGGAGTTAAAGCAGCAGATCTAATGAGGATTCCCAGCACACCAACTTTAAAACAAGGGGTTTCCTCTATTATTCAGAGGAGGCTGATATAATCACAAGTCTTTCCATATGGAAAAGGGAGACAAAAGGCTGGCTTTGAGGATGGAGAAGAGATTATATGCCAAGGCATGCAGTGTCTCTGGAAGCAGGGAAAGGCTGCCTGTTTAGGCAGCTAAAACCAAAATAACCATAAACTGCATGACTTGTGGTGGATCGACAGAGCCAAATTACCAGCCCTAAACTGCATGACTTATAAACAACAAATATTGCTCATGGCTCTGGAAGTTGAAGTCTAAAACCAAAGTGCTGGCCGATACGGTGTTTGGAAAGGCCTGCTTCCTGGATCATAGAAGGTGCATTACTGTGTGGGTAGAGCAAAGGGTCTCTTCGGGGTTCTTTTTATAAGGGCACTAATCACCTTCCAAAACCCCACTCCTACCTCCATCACTTTGACGGTTAGGATTCAACATATAAATTCTGGGGATACAGGCACATTTAGGTGGCAGCACCAACTGATAAAAAAAGTGAATTTACCTGAGGGGCCTTTTCATTCCCTCTGTGGACAGGGCTCAGGCAGTCAACAGGAAAGCACTGGGTTCTGCAGGAAGAGCTTAGATACACCTTCATACCATGGTGATCTAGTCTACTTCTCTTGGGTCTGCCTGGAAAAGCTTGGTTAGTCAGGAGGGAGAACGACAGAAAGCACCCAGCTCACCCCACCTGCCCACGTTACCAGCTGTCCCCATTCCCAGCGTCCTTCCCAGCAGTCCTCTTAGCCATTATTATAGGCATTTGTTTCACAACTGCAAACACATGCATATTTACCAGCTAATAGTCAGAACAGCAGCACTGTCAAAGGCTAGTTTAGTTTTGTAAGACGTCCCTGTCACTGGCTTGAGTACATTCAATGGTAATGAACGGAATGAAAATATAATTTTTCTACTTGTGGTATCAGTTAAGTGTGCTCGGAAACATCCATACTGACAGCCTTCCTTTCCAAAGTGAGCAATGCCGCCCGGTCCCACACTGGCACGTTTCCTATTCCTCCAACCCCAACCCATTTCAGTCGCTGAGTGGGGGCACCTGGGGATCCCGCACCCTTTTATCCCACTCCTGTGACCACCTTCTGAGAGCTCAAGCTGGCTTAGTCGCTACAAGCAGCAGAGGGCAAATGCAGCACACAGGGAAGGAAGGGACGTGTCGTCCCAGGCCACCTCTGCCTTCCCCAGCACGGGGGTCAGCAGAGATGACAAGGCAGCTCTCTCCAGGATTCCAGCTAAGACCTTGATGCTTTACAGCCTGCCCAGGCAAAGATAAATACCGCTCACCGCGCTGGGGCCTCGTTGCGTATCTTCTAATCACAGCTAGGACTGAGCTCTCAAAGGGAACTAAGTACATGGTAGCTTAGTGACGCTTCTTTTATTCTGGGAATTCCAAGGAATTTAAATTCCAGTCCGTTCCCTAGAAATAAAAAGAGGAGGGCGGAGAGCGGGCCACAGGGCAGGGGTTGGGGCTTAAAAAAAATAAAAGGAGTTATTACAACATCCATCACCCTGTATCTATGATTTTTTTTTTAACGGCTCAGTGACAGCTGAAGAACGGAATTTTGTCATTAAGTTTAAATTACCAGCGCTGACAGGCGCCGAGCAGGACAGCGAAGCTCCCGTTGAACTCAGAACGCAGTTCGGCCCTGAGCAGTTCCCAAACGCGTAAAGCTCAAAGCCCTCTTTGGCGTTACGGGCCCGACCGCTGGCAACAACCTGAGCACGCAGCAGGCCCGTGCTCGGTGGTGCCCCTCGCTGTTCCCCGCCCGGGAGCACGGAGGGTGCTGGCCCGCGGCGGACGCCGGTGCGCACACTGGAAGGCTGGGTCGCAGGTACGCACAGCCGACACGAGCTCTGCTCTCAGATGCCGGCCAGGCACGGACCACTGTCCCCTCGGCGGG